TGGAAAAACTGTAAATAAAAAACACTATTCTTTTTACCTGAGAAAACATCTCTCTAGGAATCTCTAGATCCTCCAGTGCAACTCTGTGGTTGACATCAATCAAATGCCTAGAGAAGTGTTTTCTCTAGGAACCTCTAGATTGTCCGGCACAACTCTATGGTCAATTTCTAGCAGAGTTGCGCTGGAGGACCTAGACATTTCCAGAGAGAACATATTAATCAAAGCCCCAAGTAATCAAATCTACAAAAGTCAAAGCCACAAATGTAGAGGGCCAACTTTACATGCCCCCAGCAATTCTCTATGCCTACTTATACTGGTTTTTTTTACCATGCTATGGTAACTCCTAGAAGCCCAAGTGAGCATGATGGGAAAGTTGTGTCCAAAACATCTGGAGGAACACATCTCTGCCTACCTGTGTTAAGGACTACAAAATGCTGTTTCTCCTGTAGTGTTTTCTGTGCCTCCCCTCTCCCGGTGAATTTTGCAGAAAAATTCCTGAACTGCAAAGATTCTCATAAGTCAACAAATCTCATCAGGGATTCCCATCACTGGAAAAACACATTTGTTTTGTTTTGTTTCAGACCCTAAAGAAGAAGAGGACAATACTGAAATTGGTTGGCCCTTCCTAATGTTGGCTTAGGCGTCACTTTCTACTGGTCACCTTGCCCTACCAGCCCCAATGAGTGCCAGCTGACATTAATATAATATAAAATTATGAATTTAAATCCAGATGGATGAACATTGCACTGTTCATTTAAACTGTGTGGCTCATTTATTTTTTATGTGACACCAGAGTCCATGGCTAAATTATTAAGAACACATTGTAGAAAGCTCCTCAGAAAATAAAATTAATGTGATTAAAAGCAAGCTTTCCTTATTCTTGCCTTGGAGCTATTTTAACCAAGTTTACCAATACAGTTAAAGGTTAAGGGATAGGTTTTACTATTGTTTGTTTTATGGGCAGAAATCCCCCTAAGCACTTTATGAAATTTCTACATTTAAAAAATACATTATTGATATTATAAAGACTGACCTTTCCTTTCTAGGGAAATTGCTTATTACTACTCCTTATTTGTTGCCTCTTTGTAAGCATCTGTGAGGCTGTTCATAGATCCTTGCTATCTGTGAGAATATAATAATAGGCTCTTTTACGGATCCAGATACTTAACAGGAGGAGGAATTCAATGGTCTGGACCAATTAGTAACCTTGGTGGATTTAGTTATCGATCCCTGGCTATTTCATAGATATCTGATTCACAGGTTGAACCATACATCGGGCTTGGGTGCCATCTCTACCTGTCTAGGCATGCCCTTTATTAAGAGGCATTGCTGAAAAGGGGTGGGAGTTAGAAAGTCAGATTTATCACTCTTTCTAAGAAGCAATAAACTTATTCAGACTCCCAGGGTGGATTTTTCACCAGTTTATTATTTATTCTACTTTCTTTAAATTTAATAAGATATGTCACTTTTGACAGTGCTACAATATTCCAGTGCCTTTATTTTCCACCCATCAACTGATAATATGTTACCTTTTTTCTCTCTCAAGAATTCTTCCATAAGCATAATTTTTCAGCTGCTAATAAGACAGAAATATATTCAAGTTCTTTTTTACCTAGGGAGTCTCTCAAGGGAACAATCAGAAAGCTTGCAGGGTCTCTCCATCAGATTTTAACATGCATATTTTATTGGTTTAACATATGTCTGTTCTAATCATAACAGACTAGGATGGCAGTTTGAGGTAATGTGTCACATTCTTTTTTTTATTTTAAATGCTTTAAAGTTTAAAAGCAAAGTAAGATATGGCTGGGATTCAATAGCATCTTTCCCTCCACACACACACTTTTACTAAGAGAAACCTTTTTTCACTTAAGGAAAAGTTATTTCTAACTTAGCTGAACAGAACTGCATGCTAAAAAAAGGTAAAACTAAAATACAGATCCGTTCTCACATACGCACACAACTATTTGCACAAAATTATGTATTATTTTATTCTTTGTAGGGCATATCTTTATTTTCACCTTAATACTTCATATTTGCAGAAAGTAAGCTATAATAACTAGGACTCTTACACAGTTATGTAATGTAAAGCAAAATGTGACACAATAGCTTCTACCTTGTTTTGTGATGGGAAAATCTGTCTCTCAACACAACAGGTGAGAAATGTTACACTGGTGCTCTTCTTGCTATCTTTCTTCAGGCAGGTGAAGACTTTTTACTTTTGACAGGCTTTGAAGACTAGTTGCCCAAGGAGAACGAGCCCTGCATAATGTGTTGTAATGTATATTTGTATTTTCTTTTTAACTGCTTTTAATGTTACTGATATTTCAATTACATTTTTAACTTCTCTGTATGATTTTTGTTTGTTTGTTTTAACTGCTACAAGCCACGTTGGGTCCCAAAACTGGGGAACAGTTGGGATGTAAATATAATAACAGCTAAAACAAATAAAAGCATAGGTGCCTAGAAATCCTGTCTAGACAGAAAAGGGCCTTGACTCCTGTCTTTGAAGGTGACATACATAATCCTAAGAGGAGGATTTCTTGTGAATTTAGATGAAAAGATAGTTTTTTTGGGGGGGGATAACCAATTAAAGATGCATATCTGAAAAGCAAGCCCTTGCCTGTGCCATAATACACACAGCAGAATTTCATACAGTAATCTTTCCTGTGCACTATGAATGTTATCCCAAAGTCTGCCTGGCTTAAAATTTAAAATAATCTATGTGAATACTTAGGAAGCTGCCTGTCCACATGTGGTATTTATTTTTAAAAGGGCACATCCCCAGAACAAGGATGAACAAAGTGTCACCCTCCCAATATTCTTGGACTGCAACTCCCAATATCCCTACTATTGGCTTTGTTTGCTGAGTTCAGCAACATCAAGATGGCTGCCCTCTGCTCACTCCTTCACTCAAGTATAACGTCTTATAACTTTGAACATGACATTAGTTTGAGGTTTTGTAAATTAGTCTGCTGGATTAATACATACACTTCTGGATTGTTTCACATGAAAATGTAATTTCACTTCACTTCTTCTGTGAGCCATCAGTTCCTTCAGTGTAGCTTGAACATGATGGCATTTTTAGGTTTTTGTGGGTTTTTCAGGATGTGAGGCTGTGTTATAGAAGAATGTACTCCTGACATTTTGCTGCATCTGTGGCTGTCATCTTCAGAGAATGGTGGCATGGAGGTGTGTTTGATATATATCACACACACACACTGTGTGACCCTTGGTTGAGAGGATTAGCATGTAAATCTATGTATTGTTCTGTTGAGGCAAGGCCTCAGGGTGGAAGGATATGTGAGGAGGATTAGTGTCTATTTAATTGATGGTCTATTGTCAGCTGGGAATTAGCATGTAAATTAGCATGTAAATCTGTGTATTTTCTATTGAGGCAAGGCCTCAGGGTGTGAGGATATGCGAGGAGGATTAGTGTCTGTTTAAATAATGGTCCATTATCTGCTAGGAAACCCCCTGACCCTAAGTGAAGTTCATTTGCATTTGCCGAGTCCTGATTTTGGTGTTTTTGAGGACTGGTAGCCAAACTTTGTTTACTTTCAGGGTTTCTTCTTTCCTGTTGAAATTGTCCAGGATTTCAGTGGCTTCCCTGTGCATTCTGACCTGATAGTTGTTGGCATAGCCCAGAATTTCAGTGTTTTCAAATAGCATTTTGTGCCCAGGTTGGTTTATAATGTGTTCTGCTACTGCTGATTTTTCAGACTGGCCCAGTCTTCAGTGTCTCTCATGTTCCTTGATTTGTGTTTGAACACTGTGTTTTGTGATCCCTATATAGACTTGTCCACAGCTGCACAGATTGTGGTAAACTCCTGCAGCCATGAGACGGTCTCTTGTATCTGCTGAGTGCAGCATTTTCTGGTTTTTCTTGATTGATCTGTAGATCATTTAGAGGTTGTGTTTCCTCATCAGTTAACCTATTCTGTCTGTGACTCCTTTGATGTATGGTAAAAATACCTTCCCTTTGGGTGGTTGTTTTTCTTCACTCCTGTGTTTTTTTCTGAGTCTGGCCACTCTTCTTATGTCGGAGCTGGAGTAACCCATTAGCTTGTAGAGCTCAGTTTAGGTGATTCAGTTCATCTTTATGATGGCATTTTATTTATATTGCTAAGGTGCCTGAGTAATTCTGCAAATGTGTTTCTTAAATGTCTACCTTTTCAAATAACACTAAAATTTAGAGATGCATATTAAAATATTATGGAATGCTAACTGAATCATATATAATTTATGTATGATTCTTGTCAACTGTTACTTCTTAATCACTCAAGAGTTGTGACTTGTCACACCAACTAATGATCTCCATCTGACTGCTTAGCCCACTTGCTATTCTGTCTTGAATGCATCTGTCACTGTGGCTTTCCCTAGGGATTTACACAAAAGTTTGAAACTCTGACACATGTGCATTAACTACCCAGAGATTTCCCCCATTAATAACTGACTGACTGTTTGAATATTGCAAGTTTCCCAGAAAATACCTACTATTTTGCTCTTAGATACCAGTTGGGTTGTCACATGATAGACAGTCAGGGAAAAGACATCTGGCATTTGTAACTCAAGCCACATTACTGGAAACAGAATTTTAATGGTATTCCCACTGTACAGACTCAGTGGGAATATTGAAAGTATACAGAATGTGTTATTAATTATGTTGTTTTTTTCTGATGGAGATTTTTCTGCATGCAAATGAAGTGTTAAGTTAGACACACACATTAGCATTTTGAGGGATCTGCATTTCTGCTTATAATTGTTGTTCTTGGAACTAAAACCATTTCTTAGCCACCTGCAAAGATGGCATTTCAAAAAAATGAGTCTAGAATTACTGTACCATAAATGACAAACTGTTATGCTCCCACTTCCCAAGTTCTATACCTGTAGAAAGGATATTGTACTGCATTCCCCATCACCATGTGTGAATGTGAGAGTTGAGACAGTGAAAAAGGTGGATAGGAAGAAAATCTATTCACTTGAGTTGGAGAAGAATGAGAACCAGTGTGGTGTAGTGGTTTGGGTGCTGGACTAATGCTCTGATGACCAGGGTTCGACTCCCAGCTTGGCCATGAAAGCCACTGGGTAAGCTTGGGCAAGTCACATACTCTCAGCTGTAGGAGATGTCAATGGCAAACCTCCTCTGAACAAGTCTTGCCAAGAAAACCCATGATAGGGTTGCTATAAATTGGAAATGACATGATAGCATACAACAGGCAACCTTTCCCCTTTAAGGGTGGAGGGACTTCAGCTCCCAGAATCCCAGGAGCTATTGGACAACATGGGACTATTGGACAACATGGCTGAGGCTTCTGGGAGCTGAAGTCCCTCGGCCCTTAAAGGGGAAAGGTTGCCTACCCCGGCATACAACAACAACAGCAAGCTGAGGAAGGCTGCTGAGGATACTGGGGACAGACAAAAAAGACAAACAAATGGGTCCTTGAATAAATCAAGCCTGAACTCTCCCTGGAAGCCAAGATGACTAAACTGAGGCTGTTGTGCTTTGGACACATCATGAGAAAGCATGACTCCTTACAAAAGACAATAATGGTAAGAAAGGTGGAAGGCAGTAGAAAGAGAGGAAGACTGGATGCCAGATGACTGGACTCAATCAGGGAAGTCAAAAGCCTGAATCTGCAGCTTTCAGAGTCTATGGGCCTTTGCAGACTGCCAGAAATAGTGCAGATTGAGTCCACTTTTAACTGCCCTGGCTCAGTGCTAGGGAATAATGGGATTGTATTGTTTTCTGAGACATTGAGCCTTCTCTGTCAGAGAGCTCTGGTGCCATAATAAACTACAGTTCCCATGATTCCCTAGCACTGAGTCAGGGCAGTTAAAGTGGACTCAGTTTGCACTATTTCGGACAGTCTGTAAAGTTCCACTGTTTGGTTAAAGGCTATATAGATCTGTTTTCATGTGAATCATAAACCTTCCCTGCTTATTCCTCTATGATTTGTATTTTGTTCTTCTGTTCTACCTAATCATTGCTATCACAACCCATAATACATATTATCATGAGATGCTGAATCTTTTGATTCATGGAAATTACTTAAGCATTTCACCCTTTAAATTCTATTGGTGACAGTGTTCAGTTGCAATGAATGTTTTCCCTTAACAATTGTAGCTATAAATTTTTATTCAAACTCTGTTACACCTCAAAGGGACATCTTGTCTTTGATGACATTCTGTCCTTGGAAATGACTACAATCTTAATGCACTCCAGAATTCACAGGCATTTCTTCTTTTTTAAGTTTGATCTGACCTCTTTTACGTATAATAAAAAGTTGATCAAAAATAGTTAAATCACAGTATTAAAGGATTAGCTGGGTCACATTGAAATGTTTTTCCACACAAACATGGGTTCTTTAGAGTTACTGAAGGAAACATAAAAGAGCCACAGAAAACAAGTGGCTAGTCTAAATCTGGGCTCTCTTCTTAATATGATATGTGCATCTTTATTAGTGTGCATTAAAGTGTTGGTTTTGTAAGTAGTTATTAAATGATATATATGATATGAATATTTTAAAGAAGAAAATCAATTTCACTATGATATGCATAACTGTCTAGAAGCTGGGCACAGGTAATTAGCAGCAGTGTCTGCTCAACATGGTATTTTATTCAGTGATTCCCCTTCCCCCATCATGTCTCCTTTTTATTTTCTGCTGACAAGATCTGCCACGGAGGAACCTTTTCTCAGCTTTGCAGTTTGAGTGGAGTAGTTTTTCTAAACCCGTCAGTGGTGTGAGCCTATAGTATTTTAAAGAAAACTTTCACTACATTCAATAATGGTGACTGTCCTAAAAATCGAGGACATAACGTGTTTCAAATAGAGTGTTTCAGGAAAGTTTTGTATAAATTGTGAAGCAATAAGCCTGTTAATGTCTGCATGAAATAACAAGATTTTCCTCCTTGCCTTGCTCTCTTCCCCCAGCAATGATGTTCAGCTGCCTTCCCGTGTGGATCCTGTTTATCGCCTGACACCACTGATGAGGTTAAACTGAGGCACCCAGCCATGCTATCAATGCTGGTGTCAGGGACAGCCAGGTTGAGGACTTGGAGGACTCTGAGGGGGAGGATCTGGCCCCACATCCTCCCCCTCAGAGTCCTCCAAGTCCTCAACCTGGCTGTCCCTGACAGCTGGGCACCTCATTCTGACCTTAGAGCAACTTTCACCTGCAGCAGAAGCACTGGGAGACAAACAGGGACCACAAGTGAAAAGGCATCTGCCCATCATCAATGGAAACCCACTGCAAAAGGTGAATTTTTAAAATGTGGGTTAGGGTGAAAGGGCCCTGATTGTATACATGCATCGGGGAGACAGTACAGATTTGATTCGGGATTTTGGCCCTGTGTTGTGTACGCAGGACACAGTGGGCCTGGGGGTGGGGGGCTTAGGATATTACACCTATGTAGACAAGGTTATAGACAGATTTTTACGATCATCACCATTTGTCTTCTGTAAGATTTTTAACATCTTTGCCTGATAAAGATGCCAGTGAAGCTTCAAAAACTTGAATAATTTATTTTATACTTTGGAAGTGGGCCAATAAAGGTATTGCTGCTTGTAGACTTTGGATTTCATTGTATTTTGCTACATGCCAACATGGTACCCCAAGTGTGTGTGTGTGTGTGTGTGTGTGAGAGAGAGAGAGAGAGAAGGTGGAGAGGCTCAGAGGTTGTGCTATGAAAGGAAGGTACAGCCAGCAAAGCTTTAGACAGCTAACTTCATACCTGTTAAGCCCCAGAAAGAGTGTTGGATTACTATCCATTCATGTGTCTTTTGAATTAATGTAATGACATCCAGAAAACATTGTGGCTAGCTATTTATTTTGATGTCACTAAACTAGCATTTAGGAGAGATTTACTGGTGGCTGGTGTCTTCCATGTCAGAGGGGAGAGTGATCTGTTCTTGGCTTTTGTCTGAACTTTAATGGAGCTGTCCAAGGTGTTAAACCTAGCTGGGAGGGAGATACAATTTAGCATCTTGGATAGATCTTTAAAAGTCAAGGGGGACTAAAATAATAATAATTTCCCTGTTGACAAGGAGGTCACAAATGGAGACGTTAAATCCAATCACTGGGGCCTTTCCAAATTACACTAGTGTAGTACTCTGACCCATTTTAACTGACAAAGTAGTATCCTGGAATATTTAGTTTGAGGAGGCACTGGAACTCTCTGGCTGAGGATTCTGAGTATCCCTCCCTAAACTGTCTATCCCAGCATTCCACAGTATTGAACTAAGGCAGTTAAAATGGAATCATAATGGTATAACTGTGTAATGTGAAAGGACCCATAAGCTGATAACATGTATTCCATGTCCCAACAATAAACTTGTGGTTTGTTCTATAATTGGCAGCATTTACTAATGGTTCTTAGCATCAGTTTTGACTTTTATTTCAGATTCACATCCACGACAGCAGAATTTGGTTCCATTTCTTTAGTATATCACATCATCTAGCTCCAAGCAGCCATCCCATCTGCTTCTTCTAGTAGTCTTGGTGTCCTGGCAACTGAGGTAGGCAACTATGGGCAACTAGGAGGCCATATTAACCCCAAGGAGAATTTGGAGATCCACACTGTTCACCACAAAAAAATTCCTAAATGCCCTCTTGGTGATGTGTGGGACATTTTCACCATGCTTTTTTTAGGAGCAGGAGGGGCATTTTAAAAAAAACAAGAAGTGGCCTCAAAAATGTCTCTGATAAATCAATAGTGTTGCACTCCTTAATAAATCAGAGAAGATGCAGAAGAGAAGTAGCTCCACTTTCTAAGGGAGGGAGGCTGGATGCAAGTCTGATTTGCTTTAGGGTTGTCCTTCACTCTGCAACTGTGAAACTACCACTTTGTTTCCTCCTAAAAGATTATTCCAAACATCCTCTCTTCCCCAGCATCTTTTAATAGTATTTGAACCTTTAGTGCCAGCATGAAAGACACAAGTGTACACTTCAAGCTAAGCAACGTCTTCCTGCTACTGCTAAGCAAAAGTACTTTGCATGGAACGTTTCTCTGCCAGCTGAAGGTTGGATTAAGGTTTGGTGGGCTTTTGCCTGTGGAAATACACATAAGTCCCCCGTGCTTGATGAGAGTGTCCACTCTTGCCCCTGTCTTCAGGTCACTTCACCTGCAGCACCTTCTTGCAGCAGCCCTTCCAACAGCTGCATTGACTGGGCCAGTGTTATCATTCCTAATAATGTTGAGATGGCTTACGTGTGAAACTGAAAATGGTGACAAAAGTTTGAACAAGGAGCTTTTGTTTCATAATTCAGTTTCTTGATCTCTATCCAGTAAAGATTTCTAATTTTTCCCCCTCCAGCTTCTTTATTATTGCCAGATAGTCATCTGTTGTCATCCATACCTGACACAAACACCTATTTGTGATCCAAACTGAGCTCATCTGCCTAACTTTCTTCCGACATTTCTCAGACAGGTTTTGGTTTAAATGCCATAAATACACAAACCAATGGGATTTCAGTCTTGCAGTATCTCCCCTTCTGTCACAGATAGTAGCTGTTGCTGATTTTTCTCCCCCAAGGCAATTTAAGTTAAGAAATGCTCTGAAATTCCCAATAGCCTGTTGGAGCAATCATTAATGTTTACAGTTGCTATAGCAACTATGATAGCTGGCAATTGACTGGGAAAGGAATCTGTTTGTAGGAGATAAGCTGGGGCAATTATTGAACAGCTGTCAAACCCCTAACAGTTTTAAAGATAGAGGATGCATAGAGATAGAGTGGGAAAGATTTCAATACACATGGTACTATGGTCTAAATACAATAATGCTGCCTCTGTTAAAATGGAATTAATTTGCAGTGAATTGACTTTTTTTAGAGTTGTCAACACAAGAATAGTTTGTCCAGCGTGCAGATTGGATAACTTAGGTCAAAGTAATTTATAGAAATAGTAATTTGGTCAAGTATGGGCACCATTTTTACCCATATGTGGTGTACATCATGGGCTGGGCAATGTAAGAATTGTACAGTTTTCCTGGCCATATAATGTTTTGGGAGACACACCAGAATCCATGTACACAGACCACTGGGAAAGAGTGTGGGAGCATTGTTGTCTAACAGAC